AATAAAAACATGCTTTTTGAAAAGCTGTTTAAAAAAATAGACTAGAAAAGAAAAAAAAATTGACTAGATCGGAAGCAAAAAATTTTGATTTTATTACAGGATTCTCCAGGAAATAGGTATTATAATGGAGTCAGAAGTGCAATGTGGTTTAGTGGAGAGACATAGCAGAAAGAAGTAAAGGATGGATGCAACATTAGCCAGGGGAAGCTGTCATTTTGTGATGCCAAGCTGACAGAATTGCTGTTAACCCAGCAATTTTTAATCTTTTTGATCTCATGGCACACATAAACTAATTACTAAAATTCTGTAGCCTGGCCAGTGTGGTTCAGGGGTTGAACACCCACATATGAACTAAGAAGTCCCTGGTTCTAGTCCCAGTCAGGGCACATTTCTGGGTTGTGGGCTCAGTCCCCAGTAGGGGGCATGCAGGAGACAGCTGGTCTATGTCTCAATGTTTCTATCCATCCCTCTCCCTTTCTCTAAAAGCAATAAAAACACTTAAAAATAATAATTTTAAAAAGTAGCTAAAATTCTTTGACACATTAAAAAAAATTTTTTTTGCCAATCTGACAAAAAAATAGGTATCATTTTTTAAAAAAATATATTTTATTGATTTTCCACAGAGAGGAAGGGAGAAGGATAGAGAGTTAGAAACATCGATGAGAGAGAAACATCTATCAGCTGCCTCCTGCACATCCCCTTTACTGGAATCGAATCTGGGACCCCTGAGTCCGCAGGCTGACGCTCTATCTACTGAGCCAAACAGGTTAGGGCAAATAGGTATCATTTTGATTCATTCACACCAGATGGTTGTGTTGGCTGCTGTCATTTTTTTTTAAAATATATTTTATTGATTTTTTACAGAGAGGAAGGGAGAGGGATAGAGAGTTAGAAACATCGATGGGAGAGAAACATCGATCAGCTGCCTCCTGCACACCCCCACTGGGGATGTGCCCGTAACCAAGGTACATGCCCTTGACTGGAATCGAACCTGGGACCCTTCAATCCGCAGGCGGACGCTCTATCCACTGAGCCAAACCAGTCAGGGCGTCATTTTTTAATTTGATAATCTAATAGTAACGAGGTCAGTGCCCCTGAGTAAATAGATGTTGCATGTTTTAAAAATTCTTGCTGCATACAATTGAAAATCACTGTGTTAGCCCCATGGGGAGCTCCAGAGCAGCAAAACTTGCCTATCAGAGTAGTATGTTGGATGGAAGTGGCTGGACCCTCACACCATTGCCTTGTCAGGTCTTTGGCCACCCTGAGGTTAGGATGACCTTGGCTGCAAAACAGGTGAGTCCTGACAAAGCTAGCAACAAGGCTGTCAGCTGGCCCCACTCATAGCCAGGCAGGAGGTCGGAGCCATTCATCTCTGTCACAGATTTGTAAAGAAAACATCCCCTTTACAGGATTGAAGTGAGGAAATCCTGTATACCTTCCTTATAAAAGAAAGATTGGACTGATTGTCGTTAGTGTTTGAATTGGGAATTAAATGGTACATTTCTAAAGGGTAGAACTGGAATAAAGGTTATCTTCCTGTTTTGCTGGTAAGTGAATGGAGATGTGTTTGCTGTAGGGCTTGAAGTAGAATCCAGGTCTGCATGGCAGACCAATGGTTTCCATCACGTGCTGCTGTTTCTTGGGATAGACGATCACTCTGAATGTAGTAATAAGAAACATACGTTAACTTGTAAAAGACAATGCCAAGTGCTGGGTTATATCAGTGAGCAAGAAAAGCACAACCTCTGTCTATGGGTAATTTATAATTTAGTGAATCTACACAACCGGGCCAGTTCTCTGCTATAGGAGCTCATGGCAGGAGCACTGAAACCCAGATTTCGGAAGAAAGAAGTCTTTAATTTGGCTTGGGAACACTGGGCTACTCATCTACCTAAAAGTTTCAAGTGTAAGTACACTTTTCCCCCCAAATCTCTTTCCTTGTGTTACTCATGTACTAAGTCCCTTAATTGCAAATGAGAGAAACTCACTCAAGCTATCTTAAGCAACAAAGATGATTAGGATACTAGAGGCCCGATGCACAAAATTTGTGCAAGGGGCTTGGCCCTTGCAGCCCTGGCTTCGTCTGGAAGGTCGTCCAGAAGGACGTTTGGAAGGTCTTTTGCCTGTCTGATCTAATTAGCATATTATGCTTTTATTATAGATTAGAGTAGTACAATACTCAAGACAGGGATGCTGCTGGGCATTAGGAGTACCAGAATTAACATGGCATGATAAGAATTCTATTCTTTATTTTTGACATATTCTATGGGTCTGCTTCATGCTTTTCTATTTATAAAACTGGTCACTTTTATTACTCTGGGTCAGAATGGTAGGAATCATGGCTGTCAGCCTGTCTTTTTTTTTTTTTTTTCATAAATATATTTTTATTGATTTCAGAGAGGAAGAAAGAGGGAGAGAGAGATAGAAACATCAATGATAAGAATCATTGATTGGCTGCTTCCTGCATGCCCTGCACTGGGAACTGAGCCCACAACCCTGGCCTGTGCCCTGACCAGGAATCGAACCATGTCCACCTGATTCATAGGTCAATGCTAAACCACTGAACCACGCAGGCTGGGCTGCCAGTCTGTCTTGATCATGACATTCGACAGCTTTAGGCACTCTAGAGGAAATTACCTTGTTTAATCATTTTGTAATGTCACCTCCTTGAATGGAAACTCCTACCCTTTACCTTATCTTCGGCTATCCTTCCCTAATTCCCTCCCCAGCCCTGCTGCTTCTAGTTGTCTAGCTACCTTTTTGCAAGATTACACAAAGTTCAGTTGTTATCAAGTTTATGGAATTTAGTTCATATATGTGAGATGATTCATATCTTAATTTCATTATCCATGGTGAGGTGTCCTCTAACTTATGTTGAACCTGCCAATGGTGGGAATCTTTTTACTTCTCAGAGCAGCCCATTCATTCCATCTGCAGATCTCTGTCTTTTGGAAAGCTACTTTATTGTTTTGCTTTAGTTCATTACAATGTAATGACAGCATTGCAAGTTTTAAAATCCTTTTGGGGAGCCCCCATTTTACCAGGCTTACCGTTTCTAGCTTTTCAGGCTCAAGCATGTGGTCTGGTTCCTTTATGATCATTCTTCTCTCGCTGCACTCATTGTCTATATCCCTTCAAAAAATAAGTTTCCCGGAAGATTATTTCTGGGATGCTTATACTGCAATCGATACAGCCATTTTGCTGGCTCCATACTTCTATAAGCAATGCTAATTATCAGGGTGTTAGCAATGGTCACTACCCATCTCGATGGACAGTACCATGAGTTAGTAGGAGCTCACACTTGGGATCAATCAGATTTGGGTTCACGTTCCAGCTCTGGCAATTACTAGCTGTTGTCACCATGGACAAGTCATTTAGATTCTGTGAGCCTTGTTTTCCTCTTAGTAAAATGAAGCTAACAATTCCTATCTCATAGGGATGTCCTGAGCATTAAAGGAAATAGTGCTCAACTTCTGGAACATATTAGGTGCTCCAGAAATGTTATAAACTTATCTGCAGTGTCTTTCCCTTCACACGCTGTAGTTTTATTTAATGCGTGACTATACGTTCTGCTCTGGAGATGGATGTGTTGGAAATGCCACAGGGTGTGTGTGTGATAAATGTAGTTGAACATGGAATGTCTGCTTTTATTTTTTTATTTTTTTATTTTCAGAACTTTTTAATTGATTTCAGAAAGGGAGAGGGAGATAGAAATATCAATGATGACAGAGGATCATCAGATTGGCTGTCTCTTGCATGCCCCCACCGAGGATTGAGCCGGCAACCCCGGGCATGGGCCCTGACCGGGAATTGAGCCTGGTTGATGCTCAACCACTGAGCCACGCCGGCGGGGGCTGTTTTTATTTTTGTGTCCTACTGAAAAAGGGTTTTCTGACTCAAGTTGCATCCATTGCAAGGTAGAAGTAGTTTCTACGCAGCATGACGCCTCCCCTGGACGGAAGGCCGAGAAGCTGCCTTTGGTTAATGGGTGACATCTCCTCTTCATAACAGTCCATTTCTTCAGATGCTCCTGCCGAGGATGAACCACCACAGGGGCCGTAAGTGCTTATGTTGGCAGTGGCTTCACCTCGGAAAAAGAGTTTTCTCTTGACAGCAGAGTGTGGGTGCCAGTCTGACCAAGAGCACTTGAGGTGTGACCAGGTTAGTAGGTTAGAACAGCTGTAATTCAGAGTCCCCAAGCTGCATAACTATCTTAACTGATATGACAAGAAATGACCTAACAATTTTAAGCCCGCATAGCAAATATTCTGTATCTTTTCACATGACACTTTATATTCGCATGAGAACCCATTTCAACGTTTAAAAGTGCCTTCACATCTATTATCTCATTTAACCCTGACCAGGACCCCATCTGTCATTAGGTCTCTTAGTGTTATACGAAGAAATAGCAGGCTGAATCCAGGAGGGGCGCCATGCTGGGCACTTGATCCATGTTATTTTCAATCCTCACAACAACACAGTCCAGGCCTCTTTGTTGTTGATTTTTTAAAAAAATAGTGTTACCTTATTTGTGTGACTATTAAATAATATATCATTTAGTCTTTACTTGCTTTTGAGTTACTGTTGAACACATTGGTAATTTAAAATTGTGTATGGTATCTTTCACATGGTCATAATTTTTATTTAATCTTTCTTATTTCTTATTATATTTTATTGTTGACACTATTACATATGTTTCCATTTTCCACACCACCAACTTTGCCCACCTCCACCCAGCTCCGGCTTCCCTCTGGCCATCACCATACTGTTGTCTGTGTCTATGGGTTATGCCTGTATGTTCTTTGGCTAATCCCTTCACCTTCTTTCATTCAGTCCCCGCCTTTTCCCTCCCCTCTGACACCTGTCAGTCTGTTCCAGGTATCCATGCCTCTGTTTCTATTTTATTCGTCAATTTATTTTGTTCATTAGATTCCACATATGAGATCATATGGTATTGGGCCTGGAGATTGTGATCATAATTACAAAAAATATTTTCAGTTGAGGTCTATCTTGATGGGGCTTTTTCTATAAACCTACATTGTTGGAAACGCCTCATGGAGTAAATATGTGTTAGATCTGTGGGGAGGAACTATAAGACAGAGCTGCTAAAACTATGAAAGAACTAATAGTCAAAAAATTTTTTAAAAATCTTAGGTATTGTTTTACCCAAGGTTCTGTACTGTTCCAGAGTGTGATTGCTTAGGAGTGAATATGATTTCAACTTATTTATGTTTAGAGGTTGTCTGAAATTGAGAACCAGGCAGAGCCATCTATTCTGACCCTACAGGGGTGGAGAAGTTTTGAAGTATGTCCATAGTCAAGAGAAGACCAAAGAAGCCCAACTAAAAGAACTATGGACTGATGGACATGACAACTGTGGATTGAACAAAAGTTCTTTTTAAAAGGACTATCTTGGCCCTAACCGGTTTGACTCAGTGGACAGAGTGTCGGCCTGCGGACTGAAGGGTCCCAGGTTTGATTCTGGTCAAGGGCATGTACCTTGGTTGCGGGCACCTCCCCAGTAGGAGGTGTGCAGGAGGCAGCTGATCGATGTTTCTCTCTCATCGATGTTTCTAACTCTCTGTCCCTCTCCTTTCCTCTCTGTAAAAAAATCAATAAAATATATTAAAAAAAGGACTATCTTGAAGATTAAGACTTAAACTCAGGAGAAACTAAGGCAATGGAAAGAATCACAATATGTGAAATTCCTTAAATAAAGATTTATTAATTTTAAATAATTTGCCTATGTTACACATAAAAATACCTTTATGCTTTAAAATATATTTATTTTCAGTTTTATAAAATTTTATTGTAATTTCTACTAAATTGAAATTTTCATCATTATGTAGTGATCCTCTTCATATGTGACACTGATTTTTTTGTCTCAAAGTCTATGTATTGCAGGTTAATGTAGCTAACTTAGTCCTCTGCAGGTTAGAGTGAATCATTTTTTAAAAATATATTTTACTGATTTTTTACAGAGAGGAAGGGAGACGGATAGAGAGTTAGAAACATTGATGAGAGAGAAACATCAATCAGCTGCCTCCTGCACACTCCCCACTGGGGATGTGCCCGCAACCAAGGTACATGCCCTTGACTGGAATCGAACGTGGGACCCTTCAATCTGCAGTCTGATGCTCTATGCACTGAGCCAAACCGGTTAGGGCGAGAATGAGTATTTTTTTTTCTTTTGGATGGATCTTAAAGAGAGAGAGAGGAAGAGAGAGAGGTAGAGAAAGAGATAGATAGATAGAAACATTGATTGTGTTGTTCCATTCATTGGTTTATTCTTGCATGTGCCCTGACCAGGAATGGAACCCAAAACCTTTGCATATCAGGACAATGCTCTAAGCAACTGAGCATATGGGTATATGCCCTGACTGGGTATAGAACCATGGCCTCCTGGTTAATGGACTGATGCTCAATCACTGAGCCACATCGGCCAGGCCAATCTGTACTTCTTAATCCCTTCACCCTTTTCACCCATCTCTCCAGTCCAGCTCCCCTCCCATCTGGAAACCATCCTTTCATTTTTTTTTTCTAATAATATATGCATTTTTAATGCTATGAATTTCCCTCTAAGCACTGCTTTTGCTGAAACCCAGTCATTTTGAAATGTTGTGTTTTTATTTTCATTCTTTCTCATTTACCATGTTATCTCCTTTGGCATTATTTAGAAGTATAGTATTTTGTTTCCAAATTTTGGAGAATTTTTCATATATCTTTCTATTATTGATCCTTAATTTAATTTCATTATCATCAAAGAACATGCCTTGTATAATTTGAATTTTTAAAATTTATTGATACTTGTTTTATGGACCAGAATATGGTCTGTTTGAAATATATTTCATATGCACTTGGGAAAAGTGTGTAAAATGGTGGGAAAAGATATACCATCCAAACACTATTGAAAAAAATTGGAGGTGGCTATATTTATACCAGATAAAACATATTTAAGGGCAAATAATATTACCAGGTATAAAAGAGTAATTTTATAATAATCATTCTGAGGACATAATACTAAATTTAAAGCTGACCCAAAGACAGCTATAAAATACACGAAACACAAACTGATCAATGAACGGGAAATAGACAAATCCACAAAACAGGTTTCAACACAACTTTCTCAATAACTTATAGAATAAGATAGATCAAAAATCAAAATAACAAAGACTTAGACAGTACTAAAAACCAACTTAACCTAACTAACAGTTTATAGAACATTCCACTCAAACTTGCAGCCTTTTTTTCTTAGGTTTTAGGGCTGTCTCTCATGTAGATCACGACGCTTTGTTTTTTTTTTTTTTGTTGTTTTGTTTTTTTAAACATATAGCTATTGTGAGAATTAGTGGAATGATACAATAAAGTGTTATAAGTGCAACTAAAACATCACTTTATTTTATTTTTATCAGGCCTCATTTACCCAACAACTTTACTTCTGGGAAGGATCAATTCTTTTTTTTTTTTTAATCCTCACCTGAGGATATTTTTTCCACTGCTTTTTTTTTTTAGAGAGAGTAGACGGGAAGGAGGAAGGTGGGAAGAGAGAAACACCGATTAGTTGCTTCCCACACACACCCAACTGGGGCCAGGAATCCAACCTTCATACAACCCTTCAGTCCTTGGGTCGAAACTCTAACCACACCAGATATTTTTTTTGTTTGTTTGTTTGTTTTGTTTTTTGTTTGTTTGTTTGTTTTTACTTAAATCTTTATTGTTCAGATTATTACATTTGTTCCTCTTTTTTCCCCCCATAACTCCCCTCCTTCCAGTTCCCGCCCCACCCTCCGCCCTCACTCCCCACCCACTGTCCTCATCCATAGGTGCACGATTTTTGTCCAGTCTCTTCCCGCATCTCCCACACTCCTTTCCCCCCCAAGAATAGTCAGTCCATTCCCTTTCTATGTCCCTGATTCTATTATAATCACCAGTTCATTCTGTTCATCAGATTATTTATTCATTTGATTCTTAGATTCACTTGTTGATAGATGCATATTTGTTGTTCATAATTTGTATCTTTACCTTTTTCTTCCTCTTCTTAAAGGATACCTTTCAGCATTTCATATAATCCTGGTTTGATGGTGATGAACTCCTTTAGCTTTTCCTTATCTGTGAAGCTCTTTATCTGACCTTCAATTCTGAATGATAGCTTTGCTGGATAAAGTAATCTTGGTTGTAGGTTCTTGGTATTCATCACTTTGAATATTTCTTGCCACTCCCTTCTGGCCTGCAAAGTTTCTGTTGAGAAATCAGCTGACAGTCGTATGGGTATTCCCTTGTAGGTAACTGAGTTTCTTTCTCTTGCTGTTTTTAAGATTCTCTCTTTATCTTTTGCTCTTGGCATTTTAATTATGATGTGTCTTGGTGTGGTCCTCTTTGGATTCCTTTTGTTTGGGGTTCTCCGCCCTTCTTGGACCTGTAAGTCCATTTCTTTCACCAGGTGGGGGAAGTTTTCTGTAATTATTTCTTCAAATAGGTTTTCAATATCTTGCTCTCTCTCATCTTCTGGCACCCCTATAATTCTGATGTTGGTACGCTTGAAGCTGTCCCAGAGGCTCCTTACACTATCCTCGCATTTTTGGATTCTTTTTTCATTTTGCTTTTCCGGTTGGGTGTTTTTTGCTTCCTCGAATTTCAAATCATTGACTTGATTCTTGCGCTCCTCTGGTCTGCTGTCGGGAGTCTGTATAATGTTCGTTATTTCAGTCCATGTATGCTTAATTTCTAGTTGGTTCCCCAATATAAGATCGAGGGTCTCATTAGTTTTCTTGTAGATCTCATTAAGTTTATCGGCGGCTTCTAAACAGTTCTTGAGAGACCTTAAAAGTGTGGTTCTGAACTCTATATCTTCCATTGACAATTTTGTCCTGTTTCTTTGTCTCCGCATTTTGTTTGTTGTAGCTAATACCAGGGAGGGTTTGACCTCCAGGCCAAGTGGCTATGAGAATCAGCTGTGTCAGCAGTGAGAGAACTTCTGTCCTCTAGGGAGGTGCTAATCTGGCGTTTGCCTGAGGCTATCCAGCAAATGCCTCTGTGCTGGGCTTGGGCCGGGCGGGTCGCACAGGATCAACAGGGTGGGCCGGAGAGAGCAGTTATGGCGGCTCTCAGTCCTGTCTCCAGGGGCTCTGCCTCTCTGAGTCCCAGCACCCGCTGCAAAGCTTGGAGAGAAAGCTGCACTCGCTCTGACCGAAGCCAGACAGTCCCGCTTCTCCTGTTTGAGTCTGGGTCCCTAAAGACTCGCCTGTATCTGGAGCTCAGAGTCTGCGACTCCCTCCCGATTGAAAACGCCAACCGCGCCCTCCGCCGCCAGCCCGCTCTGCGCACTCCGCACCTCAGAATTTGACTTCAGCACTGCGCCTCCTCTGAGTGTCCGTATGCGTTTCTCTTTCCTCCTAGTTGTAGGACTTCCACTCAGCCAGCGTTCCTGTGGTTCTGGGTGACGTCTGTTCCGTCTTTTAGTTTCACTTTTGAAGTAGTTGTTCAAAGCAGCAAACTCCGGCGTTAACCTATGCCGCCATCTTGGTTCGCTTTGTTTATTTGTGTTTTACTGTGACAATCTTTGCCTCTTAATGAGTTTAGTCTATGTTCAGGAATTGTGACGATTACATATTTAGACTTTTCGATATCTCCCCACATTGTACTACTTGTCTCACTTTTTAATGCTTCTTTTTCCTTCTCTCTCTCCCTTTTTGGGTTGATAGGATTTTTTAAAATCCTTAAGTGACATGTTGTAGTTTCTGAAGATGGCTGCAACAGTATCTCTTGTCTCGCTTGTTTTATGTAGAATGACCTTGCCACTCCCCAGCAAGAGATGGAGACTAATTCTCTAGCCCTTGCTTTGGCAGGCCCTGTGACTGCTTTGATTGAGAGAAGATGGTAGAAGCCAACCCGTACCAGTGCTGGGCATAGTTTTTCAGCTTTGGTCCCCTGCCTCTTAGAATGCTGGCTCTTGGAGCCCAGTTGCAAGGTATGAGAAACCCAAGCCACCTAGAGAAACCACGAGTGGGAGTGGCTGCTCCTTCCGACACCAGCTGAGCTCTGAGCTGGCGCCACCATCAACCGCCAGTCCTGTGAGTGAGGTCTGGTGGACATCCAGCCCCAG